TATATATATATATATATATATATATATAATAAAAAAAGAAAAGAAAATACTAACATTTACTCTCTCTCTCTCTCACACACACACACACACACACACACACACACACATATATGTACAGCTTCCACAAAAATATTAAGCAGCAAAACCTTAATAATAATAAATGTTTCTTGAGCAGCAAATCAGCATATTAGAATGATTTATGAAGGATCATGTGACACTGAAGACTGGAGTAATGAAGCTGAAATTTCTTTGCATCACAAGAATATATATAAAAAAGAAAACAGTTATTATGAACTGTATTAATATTTCACAATATTACTGTTTTTACTGTATTTTTGAAGAAATAAATGCAGCCTTGGTGAGTATAAGAGACTTTGTTTTTCAAAAACATGAACAAAAATATGAATGAAATATATAAAAATCTACTATTTTCGAGTGTGTCCTTTACCGATATGAGTATTTTCCCAGACTCTCTCAATGGGCTTCAGTAGGGAGCAGTGTGTCACTCTGCAAACGATCTCACCTCCCCTTGCCATCTCATCCAGCTTTTTAAGTAATGCTTTTGCTCTAAATGTCCTGGGCAGAGTTTGCAAAGGGCCCCAAAGCTCAGCTCCCTCTTTGACTTCCCTTTCTCTGTCCTCTCCCTCCTCAGTCCAATTCCCTTTTAGATGCAGCCATTTGACAGAGATTTCAAGAGGGTAGAAACCAGTTATGTCGCAGGCGAGGGTCAAAGGTCCCTCCTCAGCAGACGCAAGAGCAGAGGAGATGATCTCTGAAACGGTGGGCTTTTTCATGAACCCTAAGAAAGAATAAAGTCAGTTATTTGATCAAAAATGTGTTGTTAATGTATTTCCAGCCTATATTTGGCTGCCTATATTCGCTATGATACTGCTTATTGCATACTGTGCTGTATTTTACACTGTATACTACCTTAATTTTTTAATCAGTACATGAAAGACACATTTTACAAAGGGTTACAATCAAGCAGTTGAGATTTGCTACAGTATGTAGTATATATGGCCCTACGCAAGTGTACTGTATGTATGTGGATGAGACTGGACATACTCATATATCCAACAATATATAAAGAGCTGGATTTTAATATAGTTACATTTTGCGACGAAAGTTTATATCACTATATATTGCTATATAGTTATAAGTGTACTGTATGTATGCGGATAAAGTTGGATATAATACAGTATATACAGTATATCCAACTTCATATACAGAGCTGTGCAATAATAGTTTACATTAAACTGATAAACTGTTACCTACACTGGACATGGAATGCAAAGCTGAGAGCAATGCATTGCGGGATACTATATTCCAGGTTGTATAAATGCACATTTCAGTCAATGTATTAGGTCATCCAGCTATTCAAGAAAATTCTCATACTGTGCAAAGTATATACTGTTGGGATAGTTTGTGTATTATGGTCGTTTGCACCTCTCAACACAAAAGTCAGTTCCAAGAACTCAGTTATTTCACTCCAGCTCTCACCTCTAGTTTCGCGTGTGATGGGCTGTTTTAGGGCCGTGTGGTGAACGGCGACCCACACTCTGGTTTCTCCTCTCTCTAGCTCTGCTGTGGGCAGTCTGCACTGGCTCATGGCCGAAAAGAAGCCTTCAGCATCAGGTCGAGGGGCTGCCAGCGCCTGCGGGAAGGACACGGGGCTCAGCTCCCCACCCTCACAGAACCAGCGGAAGGTGATGATGTCCGGATGAAAGTGAGAAGCCTGGGCTGTCAATGTCACAACACCTGACAAGAGAAAACATTTTATAATGATGCATTTATATAATTTGCAATATTCTAATGTGTGCATTGTTTGTGATACCTCCTTCCTCATTTGCCTCTGAGAACTGGATCTCTGAAACCTCAGGTGGTGCTAAACAAAAAATAATAATGTAAACATGATGAAATGAAAATAGATTGAAACATGCATCTTGCTTTATATGCTAAAGGAGAAGGAAAATCTAGAAACAGGAACCAGCAGGTGCAACCAGGGTAACCAAACCTCACCTCAACATGTCTGGGTCATGTTTCACTCTAAAATCTAGATGCTAGAAAAATAAATTAAAGGGGTCATATGATGCTGCTAAAAAGAACATTATTTTGTGTATTTGGTGTAATGAAATGTGTGTATGCAGTTTAAAGTTAAAAAAA